ACACCAACGATGGGGCATTATTCCTCCCCCACTGACACCAATGATGGGGCACTATTCTCCCCACTGATACCAATGATGGGGCACTATTCCTCCTCCCCACTGACACCAACGATGGGGCACTATTCCTCCTCCCCACTGACACCAACGATGGGGCACTATTCCTCCTCCCCACTGACACCAACGATGGGGCACTATTCCTCCTCCCCACTGACACCAACGATGGGGCACTATTCCTCCTCCCCACTGACACCAACGATGGGGCACTATTCCTCCTCCCCACTGACACCAACGATGGGGCACTATTCCTCCTCCCCACTGACACCAACGATGGGGCACTATTCCTCCTCCCCACTGACACCAACGATGGGGCACTATTCCTCCTCCCCACTGACACCAACGATGGGGCACTATTCCTCCTCCCCACTGACACCAACGATGGGGCACTATTCCTCCTCCCCACTGACACCAACGATGGGGCACTATTCCTCCTCCCCACTGACACCAACGATGGGGCACTATTCCTTCCCCACTGACACCAACGATGGGGCACTATTCCTCCTCCCCACTGACACCAACAATGGGGCACTATTCTCCCCACTGACACCACCAACAATGGGGCGCTATTCTCCCCACTGATACCAATGATGGGGCGCTATTCCTCCCTCTGACACCAATGATGGGGCGCAATTCCTGCCACTGACACCAATGATGGGGCGCAATTCCTGCCACTGACACCAATGATGGGGCGCAATTCCTGCCATTGACACCAATGATGGGGTGCTATTCCTGCCACTGACACCAATGATCGGGCGCTATTCCTCCCACTGACACCAATGATGGAGCACTATTCCTCCCACTGATACCAATGATGGGACACTATTCCTCCCACTGATACCAATGATGGGGCACGATTCTTCCCACTGACACCAATGATCCAATGATAGGGCACTATTCCTCCCACTGACTAATGATGGGGCACTATTCCTCCCACTGACTAATGATGGGACACTATTCCTCACACACTGACACTAATGATGGGGCACCATCATTAGTGTCCCATCATTGGTATCGTTGGGAGGAATAGTGCCCCATCATTGGTGTCAGTGGGAGGAATAGTGTCCCATCATTGGAATACCATACTGAAATAGCATACCATATTGAAATCAAATCTGATGTTTTTTCATTTTTATTTGGTGTGCGTTGGAAGAGGGGTAGTCTTATACGGTGAGTATAGCTCAAACCTTATATTTTAACAGGAAAAGTAGGGGGTCGGGTCGTCTTATACGCTGGAAAATACGGTGTATATTTTAAGAAACTTAGACTGTCAGCCCCTTCCTCCTCACACTTAGTTTCACTTTCTTCTTGTGCAGATCTATTCCACTCCAAACAATCAGAAAAATATTGTTTCTATTCTATTCACTGAACTTCTTGAAACTTAGCACTGAAGGGGTTGATTCTGTATTCTTAGGTTTGTAGAAGTTAGGATTAAGGTCTTTTTCTTAACTCTGTTCATGTTATAACATTTTTGCTGTGAAGAGGCATGTGATCTCCGCTGAGTCAAATTCAGTTTTGAGAACTGCAAAAGTAAACCAAGCATCTGTGATAATATCTTGTAGGCAGAGAAACTGCCCAATCTTACAAAAACCTCTGGAAGACCATGACATTGTGAATGGATTAATGGAATTTATTTACCAAAAAAAATAAACATATACAGCCTTATTCTATATAATTAAAAACTAATCTTTATTTCATGATGGAATAACCTTTGGATGGTAATATATTTTCCTCAAAAAGCATTTTATTTAAAAAAATCCAATTTTAAAAAAAAAAATCCTTTTTTTTTTTTTAATTTTGATTTTTTTTTTTAAAAATCGTTGATTTTTATCCACCCTGGTAAGCTGTGATCTTATAAATGCTTGCTTATGAGTTTAATACCACTTTAACATATGGCATCCAGTGGCGTACTGACCTTCCAGTACATATAGGGAAGCCACTGTCGCTAAAAGGCTTTTGGAGTTGTTAAAAGCCAAAAACCGAGGAAGAATGGTATATCACATTTGAAGCATATGCCTGGAATGGTTGTCTCGTGGTATATCGCATTTAATGCGTGTCCCTGGAATGGGTGTCTCATGGTATATCGCATTTAATGCGTATCCTTTGGAATGGTTGTCTCATGGTATATCGCATTTGAAACCTATCATTAGAATGGTTGTCTCATGTAATCGCATTTGAAACCTATCATTAGAATGGTTGTCTCATGGTATATCGCATTTGAAGCATATCCCTGGAATGGTTGTCTCATGGTATATCGCATTTGAAGCATATCCCTGGAATGGTTGTCTCATGGTATATCGCATTTGAAGCATATCCCTGGAATGGTTGTCTCGTGGTATATCGCATTTGAAGCATATCCTTTAGAATGGTTGTCTCATGGTATATCGCATTTGAAGCATATCCTTTAGAATGGTTGTCTCTCATGGTATATCGCATTTGAAGCATATCCCTGGAATGGTTGTCTCATGGTATTTCGCATTTGAAGCGTATCCCTGGAATGGTTGTCTCATGGTATATCGCATTTGAAGCATAACCTTTTAGAATGGTTGTCTCATGGTATATCGCATTTGAAGCGTATCCCTGGAATGGTTGTCTTGTGGTATATCACATTTGAAGCATATCCTTAGAATGTAGCAGGGATCATGGCACGCTAAGCCATATGCTGTGGCGATGCCCTAAACTGCACAGGTATTGGGAAGCAGTACTTAGTACTATTAACTGAGTATTTCTTTTTACTCTTACTCTGTACCCTAAATGTTCTATCTTAGGCATTATTGATGATGTGGTGACAGATCAGTTTACAGGGGAGACTGTTTCTAGAGCCTTGCTTCAGGCCCGTAAAGTGATATTGTTTCATTGGAAAAGTACTTCCCCCTCCCACTATTAAAGAGTGGGTGGAGCATATGGGCATTACTCTCAGATACGAGCCAGTTATTTTTCAACTCCGGGGATGTGTCACTAAGTTTAATAGAGTATGGGGTAGCTGGTTAGCTGTTCCAGGCCTTGCACCGGTGGACCTGATTATGGATAGGTTGTTTGGTTGATATTCCATGTTTGTTCGAAGTCAAACTTGCAGGATTACTTTTTTTGCTATTTTCTTTTGTATAACTGCGTGGACAATTGATGGACTATTTTTACTGTATTGTGTACCTGTCCTGAGTCATTTATAGACCTTGTAATGCGCAAACCTGGAACTTTTGGTCTTTTCTATTGTATACTTGTGTTTTTTTTTTGTTTTTTTTTTTTTGTAAACCTTTTCTTGACTACAAAGAAAAAAAAAAATAAAAGGAAAGGATTGCTATGAGTTACTGTTCTTTACACATTTGGAGGCTGAATCTAATCATCTGTGAGTGTGCATGGGCTATAAATTCCCTCTGGCAACGAACCAAGCATGCCTGGTCATGTTTTTCATTTTTTCGTTTAGATTCTGCTAAGGGTGGACAAATTAATGTGGAAGCCATAAGCAGTTAGAAAACGTAGCATGTTGTGGAAAGTAGCATGTATATGTTGGATTTTTGTGTTATCTCAATGACGTATTTGTCTGTATAAGTATGCTTTGGATGCTTTTGGCATATGAATGTGTCTGTGAGAGACTGCTGAAACCCCCACAAGTGGATTGATCATTTTTGGGAAGCTACTTTCAGTTTTTGAAGTGTCCAGCGTGCCTATCTGATATTTCACATCTGCAGTGCAATTCTAGTACCCCATAGAAGTCACAATCAGCTGAGGGGAGGAATCTCTGTTGACAAGCAAATATCCATCACAAATGCAACTTCAAGTTGCGATAAATTATGTCTGAGGCATCTATCAATGGGATTTGAACTATCCTCTAGGTGTTGGAGCCAATCCTAAGTGTTCTTTTCATCTGAGCGTGAATTATCTATATTGAAGATATAATCTCTTACAAACTATATCAATTTGAAAGTACCCTTATTAAACTCATAAGGACAGATCTTGTTGAGTTGTGCTCTTAATGTACAAGCAAAACATTTTTGTTTTTTTTGGATAGACTACTGGAAGGTATAACCCCTGTCGGTTATTTTTTTGGTGATATGTGCCCCATTGTGGAGATTTTCCTTCACTTCCTGTCCCATAGCTAAAATAGGAAATCCCTGTACAGTTAGGAAAACCTTGATTGTCATCAGGGTTACCATTGAAAGATTTCTCCTTTTTATTATGGCATCAGTCAAGCAAGATGGGCAAAGACTTGCGCCCGAAAGAAACCATGAATAAAGTGCCAGTGTCAGTGAGGGACCTCAGGGGCATTGGACTTTAAAGGCATCTGTTTTAAGGAAATAAGTAATAATACTGTGGGCTGTTTTGTCCCAGTGTAAAAGATTTATTGGTTACTATACATACAGTATATGTTATGGAAAGGCTTGTGTAGTTTTTTTTATATTTTAATACAGAATATGGTAATTGAGCTATGGTGTTTGATATTTTTCATTTGTCATTAATAATCTTTAAATTAATAAAAGGTAGATTTTAAACATTTTATATGTTGTAGCAGAGGTCTTTCTGAATAAAATCTATTTTCAAGGTCATATGTGAAAGTATCATTCTCCACCATTAAAATGACTAATTAATGGTTTATATCTGGACGGTTGTCGTATTCTAATTTATCAATAAAAACCTGATCGTGGTTCTAACCCCTCATCAATTTATCCACATCTAAAAAAAAGTTTTGTCTTTAGTTTTACTTTATAATAAAAAATAACTTTAAGTGTACATATTGCGTATTTAATATTTATAGTATGTATAGCGAAGATTTTGAATTCTAATTGGGATTATGCATGGGATCGTTTGTATAATAGCAATCTATAATTTGTTTTGTAATACAGTTTTAGATCACATTTTGTTAATATAATACGTTAACATACAGTTGTTTTCTTAATGTTTTCTTTCAGTTTTGACAGGTAGAAAATTGTTGAGCAACTAAAGCAAGTATGGCTTCTGCTGCTAAGATCCTTCATCACACCATGATGACTGGCAATTCAAGCCATGGAGAATTGGCACTGGAACCCCTAATTATGTGCAAGCTGTGTCTCTGTGAACACCCTCTTAATATGATGACCACCCTTCGGGACTGCAGCTGCATTTTCTGTACTGTGGTAAGAAATTAGTTGAAGAATAACTATAATAACTATTATTTGGCAGATGCAATCATTGCTGCTCCCTGAAAAATTGATTGTAGGAGAAAAAAAGGTGCTGCAGATGGAATTTTTGGATAGTGTAAATATTTAAAGCAGCATTTACCAAGCATAATATTGAAATATTACTTTTGTAAGAGTAGTTATGGACATGGGGCACTATATAAAGTGAGTACTGCTATACTGCCACCGCAGTTGCAGAGTCTCAATTGATGGTTCCCCTTGCTTTAATGTATGGTAACTGGGCCAGTAGGTTTCAACCTAGTTGATGGGCACTATCCCTAGAACTGACAGGTTTAGCCTCTTAGATCAATGGTCTCCAAACTTTGGCCGAGGGCCAGATGTAGCCCTTTTATCTGGCTCTTGGAACACGATTCCTCCCACTGACGCCAATGATGGAGCACTATTCCCCCTACTGACACTATAAATGGGCACTATTCCCCTGACACAGTGATGAGCACATCAATGAGCACTATTCCTCCCACTGATACCAATGATGGAGCACTATTTCCCCTACTGACACCATCAATGAGCTTTTATTCCTCCCACTGATGCCAATGATGGAGCACCATTCCCCCTACGGACACCATCAATGAGCACTATTCCTCCCACTGATGCCAATGATGGAGCACCATTCCCCCTACGGACACCATCAATGAGCACTATTCCTCCCACTGATACAATGATGGAGCACTATTTCCCCTACGGACACCATCAATGAGCACTATCTCTCCCACTGACACCAGTGATGGAACACCATTCCCCCTACGGACACCATCAATGAGCACTATTCCTCCCACTGATACCAGTGCTGGAGCACCATTCCCCCTACGGACACCATCAATGAGCACTATTCCTCCCACTGATACCAGTGATGGAGCACCATTCCCCCTACGGACACCATCAATGAGCACTATTCCTCCCACTGATACCAATGATGGAGCACCATTCCCCCTACGGACACCATCAATGAGCACTATTACTCCCACTGATACCAATGATGGAGCACTATTTCCCCTACTGGGGCACTGTTCCTTCTATTAAAACCAATGATGGGGCATTTCCTACTCTCACTGGCCACAGTTTGGCCCCCATAAAGCTTCAGGGACAGTAAACTGGCCCTTTGCTTAAAAAGTTTGTCCTGTCTTAGATTGTTGGGCAGCAAAATCTTTGTCAGAGTTATTAGGCTATACCTGGACGATATAAGTATTCTAGTTTAGAAGTAAAAACCTGATAGTGGTTCTAACCTCTGTTACCTATATGTGTATATGGCCACATCACTCACATATAACATCTAGCCCACATGCCTGTCTTTTGAGCACATCAGTAAAATTTGTTAATATGAGGATAGATAAGTAGAGTCTAATTAAAGTACATCTAGGATCTCAGCTTTTTAGCGTCTGATCACTGTTAGTTGTTCAGCAGCAGGAAATATCACAAACCGAATACACATGCAATTATTAGCAAATCTGTTTAATGACATTAGAGATTCTCACAGGCATATGGACTGGCTGCTGGTCCTGAAATAGAAATTCTCAGCTTGGTTTTTCTTAAGGTATGTACACACCACTTCCACAGTTTCCTCTTTATCAGGGGTAGAACAATAACGTTAAAGTGTTACTAAACCCACAACAGTAGAATCGGTCTATACATGCAGTAAAGCATGCTTGTTATACTCACTATGGAACCTAGGGGGTTCATTCTCTGCATTGTGTAAAAAGGCTGTTGGATCCTGACTTCTCTGATCCTCCCCTTCCAGTGTCCCCCTCTTATCTTCTGATGAAATGTATTGTGTGGAGACACTACACACATGCTCAGTTTTTGTATTGCTAGAGAGGTTTTTCTTTCTTTTCTTGGGAGAGTGCATATGACCAGCACAGGGCCAATCAGCACTGTCCCGACAGAGGTCAGGGGTTCTGTATCGTCCTAGAGCAGAATGAAAAAACTCCTCCAACAAGCTTTAAGATGTGCTCTGCTGAACACTGATAGAAGTCACAAGACTGCTATATACTGCTGATGAGAAAAGGTATTTAGCAGTTTATATATACTAAAATAATTGCACTTTCATGTTCTGTGTACTGTGGGAGACCAGATATAGTGATTGCAGGGTCCTGGGTTTAGTTACACTTTAAAGGATGTTCTAAAACCTGTCTAATCACTATTTCTATTGGGGTGTCTCTGCTGGCAGTGTCAAATGGTACCTTAAATGATTTAATTGATGAGTAAATCTTCACCCAATCCAGTGGAAACCTGCCAAATCAGGAGCTCTTTTATATCATCAGGCACCTTAAGGGTCCACGCACACTGGCTTAAAGAAATTCTGCTCCTAGAGGAGTTTAGCATTTTGCCTGTAGAAGCAACTAATATTATCCTATGTGTCCATGCACATTAGGTCACTTAGAGACTTTCTTTAACTCAGCGTTGAGAGGCAAAAAAAACCCTGCTTTGCCTTTTTCGAGAGTGTTTTTCTGGGACAAAAAAAGGCTGCCAAGGGCACTAGCATTTTTCTAAGCTAGTGTGAATGGAGCCTGAAGGTACTTATTTGTTATTTTGAGAACATCAGACCCACCTATTGCATAAAACATCACAAAGTATGATCTTCCCACAAGCCAAGATCTAACTATTTAATTATACACAGATTTAGAGAGAGCGATAAATGATGCGCAATTGCATGAGTATGCGTACCATGACATTGTAGCAGATGGCCCCTGGCCTACTAATGTGGCAGAAGGAAGAAAAAGGTGTCAGTGTTGGATTTTCTTAGCTGATTGCCATTGTTTCCTACAGATAGGACTGGCACTTTTAGGAAGATACATGCTCTGCAAACAGAAGAATATTTTTTGGTGTTGATACTAGGTAATGCTGTCCTGATTTGGGCCAATATAATGTTAATGAGCTACCTGCAGGGACTGCCGACCACGGTTCATCTGGGGCATAAGTGATAGGGCAATTTGGAAGATCTTGTCTAAACGAATGGCAAGCTAGCACCAGAATTATCTGCAGTGCATCTCCTCCACTGTAAACCTGAGTGCAAGCAACTGCCTGGGACTACCAAAATGCAAAAAATGTAGCTGCTTTGAATATTGCTGACAGCAATTAGATCGTAGTTTTATTGCTGACCGTGGACTAATCTGGCTATATTGGTCACGGTGATGCTGCTAATCACTTGATTAGCAAAGGGTGAAAATTGAGTTTATTTTCAGACAGGTTCAGTTTAGTTTTCAGCCAATATGAATGAGAATGTAAACTGTGCAATAATGTGCAAAAAGAAAATGTTTGAGCAGCAAGCACCAAAGAGGATATCCTCTCCAATAAACAATCCAATAATAAGTTTTGCAAATGACCACCTTCAGGACTGCCTGACATGTTTCATATAACAGACGTCTTCCAGGGCTGCCCCCTGGAAGACCTCCCTTATGACAAAACACGCCAGGCAGCGCCTTCCCTGTGACATAATTGCGTATGGATCTTTGATGCCGTTTGGTGATTATACTGAGAATGTTATGATTTTTCTGGTTCTAAGTATAGTGTCTTGTAATATCTGCACTATGAGAGGTGTATTTTTCATGTGATCATATATGCACACCTTGTATTCGCCATCCACCTAAGGAGCAGTTTAAGTTACCAGCGCCTGGATTGATGTGGAGGATCTCCTTTTTTTGTTTTTTTTGGCTAAAGCGTTTACTGACCACTCTGAAAAAGGGGTGAGTGTATTTGGGAAGCCCGCATCTTGCTCTCACGGGGTTGTTGGGTGACACTGATGATAACAAGAAGATAACGATTTTGGAATTCTTCTTCTTCCTTTTATTATTATACAGGATTTATATAACGCCAACAGTTTGTGCAGTGCTTTACAATATAAGGGAGACTTTACAATACATTTCAGTACAGAAGGAATATGAGGGCCCTGCTAGTGGAGCTTACAATCTAAAGGAAGGGGAAGGTGATACAAAAGGTGATAGCTGCGGGGCATGATCTGGTGGAGGTGATTCTAGTACAGTTCTTAGGTGGAGGTGGGGTAGGCTTCCCTGAATAAGTGAGTTTTCAAAGATCGCCTAAAGGCAGACAGGGTGGGGTCTAACCGGACATACTGTGGTAGGGGGTTCCAGAGGATGGGAGAGGCTCTGGAGAAGTCCTGGAGGCGAGCGTGGGAGGAGGTGATGAGGGAGCTAAAGAATGTTCACCTTTAAAGGGACTATCAAATAGCTTTCATGTTTGGGAATTTTTTTTTTTCATTGGGATGCTTTCTTAACTGAATTATTTGGTTAATTTTTTTACTTTAATTAAAGTATTTGTGTGTGTGTGTATAGATATGTACAATTTTTTTTTCTGTATATTATATTTTTTTTTTATTCTATTTATTTGCAATATCACATTGTCTAGTTGTCCTCAGATGCCTTGTGCACATATTCATTAGTGCAACACTTAGGGTTCATGTACACTGCAGCTGATAAACTCACGTTTAGGAGCTGTTCAGCGTTTTTTTTTCATCAGCCCCTGAACTCACCCTAATGTTTTCCTATGTGTCCATGTACACATCATCGTTTAGAAGCATTTGAGTTTACAGTCATTTTTTGGAACGCAGAAAACTTTCACTCAGCAGTCGATTCTATCAGCTTTGCAAACGCAAAACGCTTGTAAACGCAGAAAATCGTGTTTATAAGCATTTGCGTTTGAAAATTTGTAACTCTTCCAGTTCCCGATGCTGTCCAGAACTTTTTTTCATCATGAAAAATGCATGCAAAGCGTTTTCTAGGTACTCAAATGGACAAAACACTGAACACAGGATGTTCCTACAAAGCTTGTCGCACATTGTAATGACCGATTCACACCTCAGACCTCTCCCACCCATGGAAACAAACAATATGATAATGACCATTCACACCTCAAATTCCTCATGGAGACCCCCTGCCAGGTGGCCTTAATGACTCACTCCACCAGACACCTTTCCCACCCTTGGA